TGAGCCTACTTCCTCTTCTAGAGAGTCTTTCCACTGTAACTGAAGGGCAAAAAGAGAGGTGTGTCACTGCCCCAAAAGGTCCTTCTATACTCAGAGCAGCTCACCACCCACCAGGAATTCAATTCCAAGGCAAAACCCACACCACAGCTGCCCTGGCCTAACATGGGAGGAACAGGGTGGGCAGGTGAAGGGGCAAACCTGGATGTGGCATCAAGGTTTGTTAAATAGCTTCATTTATTTTAAAGAAACAATAATAAACAGTCCCGAAACAGCAGCAAAAACTGCACACAATAATGGCAAATTTAATATGATTTATTCAAATAATATCTCATGCTACACTTAACACAAATACGAGGGTATGGTTTTCAATAGTGTGTAAGAGATGAATTCATAAAACCTGTTAGTAAATAATGAGTTTTGAATATAAATCACCTGCAAAAAGTTCTTTTGGAAACACAGATGAAACAACAATAAATTAAGGCAAGGATTTTGTAAATGCCATCATTAGGCCTGCTCCAAACCCTTTTACTAACATTAATCATGGTAACTGCCTTTTCAGAGGTAAAATCAAAAGTACATAACTCCCCGCCTTTGCCTAACACTTATTTCCTGGCATGTCATGCATACCCTACTGGACCGAAAGTCTCTGTTCCTTGTTAGTGTGGGGTCCCTTCTGCCTGGGCTCTGCTACATCACATTATGCCAGGTCCCTGAGGCTTGTCTCCTTGATGCTCTGTCCAGAACCAACCTAAACTACCTGTTTTCTCTAGCCACAACTCCACCCTTATGAGAGAACTAGGACCATCACCTACAATCCAGAATCAAAAAAGAGCATTCTTTCATTTCACAGATTGCAGGCCAGACATGGAGTGACAGCTGTTAAAGTGATCCCAAAGCAAACTCTTGTGGGTAGACTCCCCACCACACCAGGGTGCATGAATTTTATCACACTGGAAAGTGGAATCTACTCCATTCCACGAATAAATGGATGAGGATCCAGAGTTTGCAGAAGCACATGCGAAGGTGAGATCTGAAAGCAGGGAGGATCGAAGGCACTAATGACAGTTCCTCTGCTTCAAGTTCTCATGTGCAGAAGACACACTGCCTCAAAGAACCAGGGGGACTCTGAGTGCAGTGAGGAGTGCTAACAGGTTCAATGACAAAAGACTATGCATGGGGGGGGGGGGGGATGAGACACCAAAACAAGTAGGATCTAGTTTTACCTCAGATCCCAGGCCAGACTTCAAGACTCTTCTAAAGAGCTGTGTCCTGCAGGATGGACTCAGGGAAGGGGAAAGAACTGAGTACCCATTTTAGAATTCATACACAAAACTCTTCACACAATGAAGTACGGATGACTTGGGAACCTGCCAGGCAGCTGAAAGGTAGAGCCAAGGGGACAACCAGACCTTGCCATTGTCCAGGGAAACCCTGCCCTCTGTAGCCATGGTGAGGCTGCTCCAGTCATCCTGCACATCTCCCAACACAAACCACATCTCAAATGATTATAGAGATTAATGGTGGGCTAATTATATCCACAAAAGAATTGCACACAGGGATTGAACAGATGTCTATACACACATGTTGATAGCAGCATTAGTTCTTATATAAGCAAAAGGTGGAAGGAAACAAGTCCAGTGCCCATCAGTGGATGGGCAGATAAGCAAAATGTGGTATGTGCATACAATGGATCATTACTGGGAAATTCCGGCACTAGTTACAACATGGATGAGCTTTGAGGATAATGCTGACTGCAATAAACTAGTCACAAAGGGCCGACTGCTATTAGATTGCAGGTAAGTTTCCCAGAGCAGACAAATACAGAGTCACTAAGTACAATGACAGTTGCCAAGGGCTGGGGGCGGGGTGGAAATTATATTTAATGGAACAGAGTTCTACTTTCACAAGAAGGAAGAGTTCTGTGGGTGGAGAGTGGTGACAGTAGCCTAACAATGTCCTTATGCCACTGAACCACTGAAAACAGTTAAGAAATTACAGTGGTGCACACCTGTAATCCCTGCATTCAGGAGGCTAAGGCCAGTTTGGGCTACACAACAAGTTCAAGACAAGTCTGGACTAACTAGTGAGGTGTTTCTGAGTTCCAAAAATCCAAAAGGAAGAAAAGAAAGAAAGAGAAAAGGGGAAAGGGCAAAGGAGAAAGAGGAAGGCAAACGACAAAGGGGAAAGGGTTAAGGGCAAAGGAGAAAGGGGAAAGGGCAAAGGAGAAAGGGCAAATGGGAAAGGGCAAAGGGCAAAAAGAAAGGGTGAAGAGGAAAGGGCAAAGAGGAAAGGGCAAAAGGCAAAGGGGAAAGAGTGAAAGGGGAAGGGTGCAGGGGAAAGGGTAAAGGGCAAAGGGAAAAGATGAAGGGGAAAGGGCAAAGGGTAAAGGACAAAGGAGAAAGAGCGAAGGGCAAAGGGGAAAGGGCAAAGGACTATGGGCAAAGGGTAAAGGACAAAGGGGAAAGAGCGAAGGGCAAAGGGGAAAGGGCAAAGGACTATGGGCAAAGGGTAAAGGACAAAGGGGAAAGAGCGAAGGGCAAAGGGGAAAGGGCAAAGGACTATGGGCAAAGGGTAAAGGACAAAGGGGAAAGAGCAAAGGGCGAAGGGGAAAGGGCAAAGGACTATGGGCAAAGGGTAAAGGACAAAGGGGAAAGAGCGAAGGGCAAAGGGGAAAGGGCAAAGGACTATGGGCAAAGGGTAAAGGACAAAGGGGAAAGAGCAAAGGGCGAAGGGGAAAGGGCAAAGGACTATGGGCAAAGGGTAAAGGACAAAGGGGAAAGAGCAAAGGGTGAAGGGGAAAGGGCAAAGTGGAAAGGGCAATGGGCAAAGGGGAAAGGACAAAGGAGAAAGAGCGAAGGGCAAAGGGGAAAGGGCAAAGGACTATGGGCAAAGGGTAAAGGACAAAGGGGAAAGAGCAAAGGGCGAAGGGGAAAGGGCAAAGGACTATGGGCAAAGGGGAAAGGACAAAGGGGAAAGAGCAAAGGGTGAAGGGGAAAGGGCAAAGTGGAAAGGGCAATGGGCAAAGGGGAAAGGACAAAGGAGAAAGAGCGAAGGGCGAAGGGGAAAGGGCAAAGGACTATGGGCAAAGGGGAAAGGACAAAGGAGAAAGAGCAAAGGGCGAAGGGGAAAGGGGAGAGGGCTATGGGCAAAGGGTAAAGGACAAAGGGGAAAGAGCGAAGGGCAAAGGGGAAAGGGCAAAGGACTATGGGCAAAGGGTAAAGGACAAAGGGGAAAGAGCGAAGGGCGAAGGGGAAAGGGCAAAGGACTATGGGCAAAGGGGAAAGGACAAAGGGGAAAGAGCGAAGGGGAAAGGGCAAAGGACTATGGGCAAAGGGTAAAGGACAAAGGGGAAAGAGCGAAGGGCGAAGGGGAAAGGGCAAAGGGCTATGGGCAAAGGGTAAAGGACAAAGGGGAAAGAGCGAAGGGGAAAGGGCAAAGGACTATGGGCAAAGGGTAAAGGACAAAGGGGAAAGAGCGAAGGGGAAAGGGCAAAGGACTATGGGCAAAGGGTAAAGGACAAAGGGGAAAGAGCGAAGGGCGAAGGGGAAAGGGCAAAGGGCTATGGGCAAAGGGTAAAGGACAAAGGGGAAAGAGCGAAGGGGAAAGGGCAAAGGACTATGGGCAAAGGGTAAAGGACAAAGGGGAAAGAGCGAAGGGCAAAGGGGAAAGGGCAAAGGACTATGGGCAAAGGGTAAAGGACAAAGGGGAAAGAGCAAAGGGCGAAGGGGAAAGGGCAAAGGACTATGGGCAAAGGGTAAAGGACAAAGGGGAAAGAGCAAAGGGCGAAGGGGAAAGGGCAAAGGACTATGGGCAAAGGGTAAAGGACAAAGGGGAAAGAGCAAAGGGCGAAGGGGAAAGGGCAAAGGGGAAAGGGGATAGGAAGGGGAGGGAAGGAAAGGGAAAAAGGAAAAAGATAAAAAGAAAAAAGGAAGGGGAAAAGAAAACAAAATTGTGATTTACAGGAATTAGGGATGAAACTGCAAATCATCATGTTAAACAAAAGAAGCCAGCCAAAGTCAGAAACACAAGTTTTCACCTGAATATGTGGAATCTAAGAAAGGAGATATGAAAGTAGAGGGCAGACTGCTGTTAGACAAGAAGAAGGAATGGGAGAGGTGTAGTAACGGGGAAAGAAAAAGTTAATTATGTCATTACAAAATTATGATGTTGACACTATTTTACTGAGGTTGAAAAGGTATCAACTTTAACCCATTAAAGTGAAACTATAAGTTACAAACAATACAGATGGCATTCTCAATTTATTTTAAAAAATATATTAATGCACATATATTCAGAAATTATCTATAATGATATTCACTGGGCTATTAAGTTAACCTGTCCTTAGAAATGAGCTAGGAGCACATTTTTATTTTTAGGAGGACTTTTAACTCCCTCTATTATAAAATGTTTTTATGTAAAAGAAATTAAGAATTGCTGTAGAAAGTACATAAAGTGAGGCCTACATTAATTACCTTGACTGCATTAATCCCTTCATCATGTATATGCATCTGAAAACATATTGTACACCATAAATATATGCTCTTATCAATTATACTAAATTAGAAAAGAAACGTCAAAGATGGTAAATTTCATGTTACATGTATTTTACATTTTTTTAAAATGTGCATTAAAATTTGAGAATTTCAATCCAAAGAGAGAGGTTAATGTAGGAAGAGTCGTACCATCAATACAACTCTGAACCAGTAACTGTCAACTGCATGGAAAGCATGCTATCATTACATCAGATGAAAAGCAAGACAGATATTATACATGATATTTTTCATCTATATAAAGATAAAATGTCCATATCTATAGAATGTGTGCTGGCAGGACAAGGAGTGGAAGGAAACATGACTGTCAGCAGTAGCTATTTTCCACAGGCTGGGTGTCCTTCCACCTTCATCAGCTTGCACATTTTCCAAGGTTCACAAGACGAGCATACACTACTTTTATAACGGGATGCAGACACAGGGTAAATATAAACCCAAACCACAAAAACGTTCAACTGAAAAGAAAGATTTATTCAAACTCCAGATAGGAAAGTGTCTCCATATTTAACAGGACAAGACAGGAAAATATATCACACAGATCAATTTATTGGTCACTCATTACTTCAAAAATGAGGACTGTAACTTGAAATTTAAAGGCAAATTCACACAACTGGTTATGCAAATGCCCGAAAGTTACACAGAGGAACAAAGATCAAAGCCATTAATAAGCAAAGAGAAGTTAAAAGAGGATATCACTTTTACCTATTATTGTAGGGGCATTTTTAAATGGTTTTTATACATATACTTGTTGGTTTATTTTTTGACATTGGTACCCTAAGATAACAAGCGTTACAAGAGGTGAAAATGGAGACTTTTTTTTAACAATTTGTCACTGATTGTCCTTAGGGAACAATTTGAAATATATATAGAAATGTTTTACTCAAAAAGTTTATCATCACAACGACATATATAATACTGAAAATTTGGAAATAATCTAAATTTCCTACAACCAAAAAGTTACGTAAATTATAATAAAACAATAAAATACATTATCGACAATATAAAAGATCTCTGGAAAAATCTGTAAAAATTACGCATACTATTTAGTGAAAAAGTAAGACCATAAATTACATGATAAAGAACAGAGTATGATCGCAGCAGTGGAAAAAATTCACACCCTCCCAAAGACAAGATATTAAGTGACTATCTCAGGACAGAAGATTCACATTTTCTCGCTATTTACTGATCTCGCTATTTTCTGATTTTTCTATAATTAACAGATCCATTTTATAGTCAGAACAAATACCTTTTTAAAGTAAAGTGAGCACTAGATTCTTGAGCAGTTCGTCTCTCTGCAGGATATGGCAGTCACAAAAGCCACAGCCTCTTGGTGGGGGATGGGGCCCGGCTGTGAAGAATGGCTATGAGTGATGGGTGAAGAGAGGAGGTGGGTGCAAGTAAGGTGGCAGGGAGGACAGGATTAGCACGGAGAGTCCGCTAAGGGCAGGGGCATGTGGAGCCAGGGAAGACTCTGACTGCTCTGCAGAGGTCTGTCTAGACCCATAGTAGGCACTGGCGGTGTTCTCAAAGGGCAGGGGCAAGAGGCATTTCAGGAAGACACATGGATTCCTTTAGGAACAGGGGAGGCCAAGGGAGGGGAGGTAGACTGCGGGAAGGCAGGGAGAAGGAATGTGGTGATGGTGATGGCAGTGGAGAGGAAGAGGCAGGCCCTCAGCCATAGCCAACTAACTCCCTGCTCTGTAGCTAAACTACCTTGCTCACCTCCAGGCGGGTCTCTGTGGCAAACACAGGGCGGAGGAAAAGCTTGCAGGAAATGCTTGCCAGCCGTCAGCAGGCCCAGCTCAAACCCACAGGCCATCCAGGGCAGCTCCATCCAGTCAAACTCTTCCATGGCAGAAATGTGCCACACCTGGGTACCAGACACTTGCAATACGGTGGGGCCAGGCATCTTTTTAAAGTGTCTTTCATTTTAATTACTTAAATTTCAATAGCCACGCATGCTTAGTGGCTTACCAAGTATATGGCATAGTACAGCTTATGACTTCATCAAGAGCAGAATTTGGAGAATTTTATACTGAAACTGTGCATCAGGAAAAGTGCGAAAATACAAAGTATACATATTATAGCCTACCAGGAGCAGCGATTGGATGTCAAAGAATAACCTCTGTTAACATTTACAACTGTGAAATAGTAGTTAAAGCTAAATACACTGAAAACATGCCATGAGGAATTTCCAGAGTGTCTCACAAAAATTAGAGAATGTCTGGTGAGAGCAATACAAAGGATGAAGAACAAGAAAGGACAAGCTAACAGAAACATCTACAGAAGCTGAAGATTTCAAAGGAGAGATGAATTCTGGGAAAGAAAGATGAATAGAGCCCTTAACCCCTTAGATGAAAACTGCTGTTACCAAAGCAATTGCTTTAACTGCTTAGGATCATTGTATTATCATGTATCCCTTCACCAGCAAGGGGCAAAATCTGTCTTTGAAACGTAACTGATTTTAATACAACTCGTCGTTTTTATTACAATTGAATACACTGCAGTGGCTTAATGTAATTTGCAATTTGGTGTATTTTACTTCACAAATATTTATCTTGAAATGCTGAGGCATTTTTAAGGAGAAAAATAACTAGAATTGCTTATTTTCACACAAAAGTATCTTGGATGTTAATTTAGAAAGTTAGTGATTCTTCATCAGCTTTCGCAGGCTGGAATATCACTTGCAACATTCCATTCCTTTTAAGATGGTGGTGCCGGTGGGGGTGAACATTTTAGTGCTCTCAAGGATACAGCCTGCTGCGGCACACATGCCGTAGTTCACTGGACTATGCCTTCCTATTAGCTTCACATTTAGGGAATGATGAACTACAGTCGGGAGATTGGAAAATTACTTAATATTATACTAATAACACATTTGCATAATACTCAATTCAGAATTTAATAAAATTAATGTTTTCTTTAATAACTGATTACAACTAGAATATGTTCTGCCTCCTGGATAAATGGATGTCTGCGGTCAACCATCCCTAAATAATAACATTGCCATGGTTTTGAGAGACTCGCAAGCCATGGTTACAGCTATGCTGAAATGTTTCTCACTGTGAATTACAGACTTAATAGAAGGCCAATGCATTCAAGGGGCATATTATTTGCTAACATATTATTAGTTGGGCCAGAATCTATCAGAAATTTTTAAACCAATTTCCCACATATTTCATCTCTTTAGTTTACAAGGCATTATTTACTAGTTGATGTAGAAATAACACATTAATAATTTCATGGATATTTTATGTTTGGATTTTAAAATTATGTGGCCTTAGAAACAAAATTTAAGGTATTGGTTTCTGTAATTATTGGTTTCTATAATTACTTAACTTTTTATCTGAGAAGGAAATGTGAATTACATGTTGATACATCCCGAATATATTGGACTACCTACTATATTTTCTTAAATTATAAACAAAAGAATTGGAATCTTAGGGTAGAATCTACATATGGTTACTTTTTGAAATGCACTAAATTCCACAAATGAAGTATTTCTTGAGTACAGTGATATGTTTGGTTAGTATGCTCTTAATATACAAAGGTATGACATAATTTCAGTTTGTTCACTCTACACTTACTAAATGAGCAATCCATGCCTATTTAAGAGAAAGGAAAAAAAAAACAGTGAAAAAAAGAAAGAGAAAGAAAGTTTCAGCCCAGCACCAATACAGTGGCCAATTATAAATTAGTAAGGGCTACATGGAAAGTTTAGCTGTCACAAAGTCTTGGGGCAAACGGCTGATGCTTGCTTTGATTACCCCGCCTAACTGTTTCCGGTATTATGGGTAATGACAAATGACCATCCCTCATGCTTCCTCTTACCAGCTCAAGCCAAGCACATTATATTTTCCCTCTGGCTGGCAAAACTCAAGGCATCAAAGACGGAGGGATTTCCCCGTGTTGGGAATAATTGTATATATTGTGGTCTTGCAATGGATCAGAATCCACAAAATACAGTTCCCCTGCATGGATGTCAGAAAAGTTGGCCAGAAATTCATGGGGATCGAAGCCCACCCACACGGTGTACCTATAGTCTATGGTGCGTATGGAGTAGCCCATGACCTTTATATCTTTTAAACTCGGGTTGTCAGAATTCCACTGAGGGGTATCTGCAGGCCGGGGGTACTGACTATAGGCAACCAACTCACGGGGATTACCACGGAGCTCTGGATCTTCTTCCAAGTCATGGGATCCAAAATGCTTCAGAAGGTTTTCTCCTTCTCTGCACAGCTCCACGTGAAATGAAGGGACAGGGCATGGAGGCAGAATGGGCAGTCCGGCAAGGCTGGCAAGTGTGGGGAAGAGAGACACGAGTTCCACAAGGTCCGTGGTTTGCATGCCTGAAACAGGAAGTGACAGGGCTGAATCTGTTCTGATGCACACCAGGCACCATCAGCAAGGGCTGGGTTCCATCTGTTTTCTTGTTTTGTTGAAAACATTTCTAACCAAAGAAGTTTAGAGATACCGCTGCCTCAGCACCACACTCTCTACTCATCCAATCCAGTAGCAGGATGTAAAACTAAGGCACGAGCAGGCTGATGGCACTTGTAAAAGCTACCTGAATTGTAGAACCAACAGGGGCATATAGTACTTGATTCAGGCAAGCTTCACCACTTATCACTAACACCAGTGGGTGAACCTCTGTTCAGGAACAGAAGACTGTACATCTCATATGTCACCCCATATAGTACAGTGGTGCCTCAGTTCACGAACTTTACGCTTTTCACAGTCCTGATTACTCTCCCACCAAAATCAAGGGAAGAATTAAGTTTGTGAACTGAGGTACCACTGGATTCCTTTCTGGATCTCTGCAGTTGATCCATCATTTTGTTTTCATACAGTAAGACACATGAAACATGTATTTTACCATTTTTAGTGAATAGTTAGTGGCATTAAACACATTCATATTGCTATGGCGACATCACCATCCCTCACGTCCAGAACTTTTTTATTTTTTATGCCTGAAAGTCTGTTCCCCGTTAAAGACAAAAGCAACTCCCTATTTCTCCATCTCTAGCCACTGGCAACCTCATTCTACTTCTATAACTTTGAACACTCCAAATACCAAGTGGGATCATACAGTAAATTTCGCTTTGTGTCTGGCCTACTTCACAAAGCATAATGTTCTAAAGCTGTGAGCAATGCAGGAGCACGTGTTAGCATCTCCTTCCTTTAATGCTGAATAATATTCCCCATATGTGTATACCACTTTGTGTGTATCCAGCCATCTGCTGATGGACACTTAGGTTGCTTCCACCTCTTACCTACGGTGAATAGTGCTCCTATGAACATTCACGTTCAATTTGGCTTTGAATATCTGGTTTCACTTCTGTGGTATGAAAGTACTCATATGTTAATTCTATGTTGAACTTCTTTCTGTGGTACTGGGATTGAAACCACTGCCTCATGCATGCTAGGTAAGTGTTCCACCACTGAGTTATACCCTTTGCCCCCTGCCATTTATATTTTGAGATAGGGTCTCACCAAACTGTCCAGGCTAGCCTCAAACTTGAAATTCTCCTGCCTCAGTTTGTCTACTAGCTGGCATTACAGATGTGCCATGCCCAGCTACACTTAAGTTTTTGAGGAACCACCAAACTATTATCCACAGCAGCTACAACATTTTACATCCCTGCCGTTAATGTATAAGCTTTCCAGTTTCTCCACCATCCTTACCAATACTTGCTATCTTATTTTACTATCATTATTATTATTTATGTGCATCCTAATTGCTATGAGGTGGTCCACCCATCTTTCAAATCTAAATTGCACACTTACAATAAATTGTTAGAATGGATCTAAGCTTTCTGCTATCATTTTGGCCTTTCCAGATAGTTAATAGTTTGTTTTATAATGCTCAATTTCATTTTTTAGACAGTTGATTTGTAACTAAAGTAAAAAAGTGAAGAAAGCTTTAAAAATGTACAATGGCAGACACTACCACCTTGAAACAAATGATCAAACTTACCATCACTAATAATGGCAAGGCAGGCTGCCATGAAGCAGCCCTGGTGTGATATGACACCCCATGTAGTACACTACTCAAAAACATTTACCCTGGCTCTAGCCACCCAGAGTGTGGGGCACTGCACAGGACAACTGGTCTGGATGTTTGGGAAAAGAAGTCCAAGAAGGGGGAATTAAAGCACACAAAGCCCTGTCAGCCACCATGAGGACATTTACCAGTAGGACGGGCGCACCGAGGCTTCCGAGCAGGGCTGTACCAGGGTCTGCCTTGGGCTTTTCTTTTTGGGTGTGTCTATCTGTAGGTCTGAAGTAAAATCCAGTGCCGCCCTACATGGTAGGCAAGAGCTCTACCACTGAGCCACAGCCCTTTCCAGCTCTGGGCATGCAAGGGACCATCTGAGCTACTCTAAGGTGGAAACACAAGGATCAAAAGCACAGGCAGAGACTCAGCAAGATGCTCCAGGAGTTCGAAAGAGATGCTGGTGGCAGTAGAGGTGGTGAGCAGGGGTAGGAGCGTGACAGGCTACTAATGTAATGTGTGTCATGTATGGAGTATGAAAGAAAAACAAGATGAAAAGGTCCTCCTTTGCTTGGCCTCAGTGACTACTACATTTCCCAAGAAGAGTGCTGAAGTAAAGGGTGAAGGTGAGACAGCGCAAGCTCAGTTCAGGGCGTGCTGCAGTGCCGGGGGACAGGATGCTGGGAATGCAAGGGGGAGCTTAGCGCGCTGACTCACACTAAAGAGAACATCTGAAAATGAGCTGGGTACACGGTGCAGTTACTGACCTGTATTAACTCACTGAACAAAAAACCAACAAAACTTGTGAGAAAACTTGTCCCAACACAAAAGTGTTAAATTCATGTCTTGAAAGTGTTCAACCTCCCTGTTGGTGAGGTGAAAGAAAGCAGAACATGCACTGCCCCAAAATTAAATGAGCATTGTTTTACCCTGGGCATTGTAAAACAAATTCAAAAATCCCCAAAGGCCAAAATGATGTCTTAAGCCAAGATAAATTTTAAACAGGACTTGATACAAGGTGCAAGACTTAGATATCAAAGATGAAGTCAATGCCTACATCTGGGGGGTGGTGAGCACCTGGTTTAATTTTTGGAGAAAGCACCCGAAAATGAGCAAATGCCATCTAAAGTACATGATCTGTCCCTGAAATGCACTGGAAAGATCAGTCAGGATGCAACTCACAAGAAGGCATACAGGTCACCCCGCACACGCAGACTAAGGACTTATAATGCTCTGAAGAACTGCTGCATGGAAGTTGAAGTAAACTTGCCTTCCCTGTTGGGGATCACCAAGCAGAATCACCAGATAGGTTCTACCAGTCCTGTGGTTCACTAGGTCAATGAGCTGCCAAAATGGAAACTATTCCTCTTAGACAAAGCTGAGAGCCTGCCAGAGCACGCAGTTCATCTGCAGAGCGGGCAGCGCGTGTCACACGTGGCAGGCTTTAGTGCCTATCTCTAAGCTCTGAAGCTTGCCACTGTCACCTCTACAATAGTATGCCCTACCATGGGAAAGCCACTGGCTCTCCCGTTCATCTCCCCTGCAAAGTGCTCACAGGCACAGCCACACTTGTCAGCTCTGGCTTTACGGTGCCTCCCCAAGCCAGAGCATGGAAGGTGCTCAGGAAACATGGACTGACCAGCATCAAGAAGGGACTTCCAAAGGGCAAGAGCGAGCCTGAGTGAAGCCACAGCCCACGACTTGGTGAGGTGGTTCACATGTAAACTAAAGTCACTCACATAGCTTCAGTGTATTTTTTACCTGGTTCCATCGACTGTGAAGCAGAATCAAATGGGTCGAGGTAAGGGAAAAGCATTTTGCCTGCTTCTGGGAATGAAGTCGTCCTTCCAGGAACATAGAACATCAGGGGCACACGGGTAGTGACATCAAAATTGCTGTATTTGGCCCATTCTCCATGTTCACCTAGGGCCCACCCTGGGTCACGAAAAGCACAGAATAACAGAAAGTAAATAATCATATCACAGCTTGTTTATTTCAGAAAAATTTTGATTTCCTGTTATAAAAACTAGAAGCAAAAACTGATCATTGAGAAAATTCTTCTAAAATCACTATACAAAGAGTGATTTATTAAGCACCAAACATCTATCCTCAAGAAAGAAACTACTGAAAAGAAAAAAAAAACTATATATAAAATTCCCAAATTTAAACTTTGTCTTTCACAAATCTGTAGCCACAGTGGGCATCATGAGACCAGTAGGCCTCAAACAGACCTGTCTCCCTTGCCAAGACACATTTACTTGTTTTTATTTTAAATTGTGTGTGTGTGTGTGTGTGTGTGTGTGTGTGTGTGTGTGTGTAGACTGATCTAAGGACCACATACTTGCTAAGCATTTGCTTTACTTCTCAGATACACCACCAAAGACATGCTGATTGGGTAGGCACCTCAAAAATATCTGGGTTCATGTGCCACAAGCCCAGACTTTTCTTTGAGGTTCAACTTTCATTGTACCACTAAACCAAGACAAAGCTATCCTGCTCATTTCTTAAGATGTATTCTATGTAAAGAAAAAAAAATTATTGACCCAAATCTTTAACTAACTATGATAAAAAATAACCCATCACTGATCTAAAATATCCCTTATGAAAGACTGAATGCTCAAAGATGGGAATCATCCATCTTTTAAAGGCTGAAGATCCTTTTGCTATAAAATCACTAATGTCAGGGATTATACACAGAGTATTTAGTGTTAGAAAAATAACCAAAGAAACCAAAAGCTGTCATGTCAAGGATCTGCCTTCATCAAAGCTGCTTCTGCTGACATCTGACAGGACTGACCTCACTGGCTCAATCTGCATGTGACCCCAGGTCACTAGAGGACCCCAAGCTGCAGGGATCCCACTGTGAATGGGCAGGGACTCCCTCCTGAGTCCACAGTGCTCTCCTCAGGTGACCCAGGCCAGTCGGTAATGACAGAAGACATGTCATCCATCAGAGGTGCTCAGCCTTCCAGAGAGCCCTCCTTCCCCCTTTCTCACCCTCCCTCTGGCCCACAGCACTGGGGAGTCAGGCAGTGGCTTAGGGGAGCTCGGGGCTCGGGGACAGGCAGTTCCCACCATCCATCAGCCTCACAGTCAGGTGAGGCAGCCCTGCTCCTCCAAAGCCCCCTCTCCGCAGGAGGACGAGGCAGAGCTGACCCAGGAGGGCTGCTGACATGAGGTCATGGGCCAGCCCCCAGCTGCCAGCTTGGAGGTCATGCTGTCTCCATCTGGCAGAGGAGACACCTCAGAAGTGGCGGGGGACAGGTCTGCAGGACAAGGAAGTAAGTGACCCTAGCCATGGGACCTCAGGAGTCAAACCCCAGAAGTCTGACTGGGGTGCTCCTGGGGGCAGTGAGGGACATAGGACAAGTGCTCTGAGCCTGCAGCCTGGGCGTGGCACGCAGCAGACACTCAGTGCATGGCTGGGGACATCCAGACTGCAGGAACACGGCTATCGGGCTGGTGCTGGGCTTCACCCCAGGCTGCTTAGCCAGGAGCAGATCCCTGTGCAGAGAGCACAGCCCTGTGAGGGCCCCCGCTCTGCCTCTAACCCCAGGAGAGCACGCAGCCAAGTACCTCGATGGGCAGCTCAGAAGGGTTCTGGCTCCTGGCCCAGAGGCCTGAGATGAGGTCAAGGTGGCATGGAATGCCCCAGGAATTAGAGTGAGGGAACCACGTGAGATGTTCGCTAAAGTCACACCTGAATGTCAGGCCTGTGTGACACCTGCAGCCCCCTGAGCAGATGCCTCTGCACCGCCAAGTTTTACCAGCTCTCTGCTGGTTCCCACAGCGGATGTCCCAGGAGAGTACTCTGACATGGGCCACTGGACTCAGCTGTAGCTGCCTCAGCGAAAACAGGAAGCTGGGCAGGAAGAAGAAAGGCCAGAAGTGGATGGCGAACCATTAGGAATCTGTGGAAACTAAAGACACTTCCTGGTTTCACATTGAAGGGGTTGCAGCTAGAGACCGGCACTTCCATATGTAATGTACCTTGAAGGGAACAGTTCTTCCCTGGAGCAATTTGCAAGGGAAAATTTAGGCCTCTGAGAAATGACAAAGAGAACTTTCTATGACATTGTTATGTGGAAATAAAAAAAAAAAAAAAAAAAAAACCAGGGCCATGAGTACACACAGCAGAAGAAAGCCTGGTTCATGATATGCTACGTGCTACACACATGCACTGTACAACACGCACCACAAGCAGAGGCTGGCTGGCAAAGCTGAGTCAGCACTTGTCAGCCCTGGACAAATGTCGAAACGGGGCCCTGCATTATGGGTTCTGCATACATTTTTCTGCCCCCAATGAGCACATTACATATTCCATGATAAAAAAGAATTATGTTCCTTTTGCTAGGCATGTAAACAGTACTGTGGGTATGCTTGAAGAGGCAGCATCTTTCAGAGACAGTGATCAGAAAACAGAAACCTCTCGATCTGTATCAGGACAGTTGAGGAATGTGGGGAGCAGGGAGGATGAGGGGAGCAGGACTGTCACTGGTGCAGAGCTGGAGCACCTGTTGTTCTCCTCTTGAGCTTGCTGAAAGTTTTTAAAATACAACAGACTGTTTTCAAAAGTACAGGTCTATGTTTGTGAAAAGGAGGCGACAGACTTAGAAAAGTTGAGAAGCCTGATCTCCTGGAGAGAAGACAGCAGGGGCAGGAGTAGCAGGGGTACAGCTGGGTCTGAGGGTGCTGCTAGGTTCTGCCAGGATTGTTCTAGATCCTTCCAAGAAAAATTAAAAGCCCTTCAACCCTGTAGGTTACAAGTGGGAGTGGTGCATAAAAGGTTTCCCCCATTAGTGGGCTCCTGCTGAATTCATCAAGAAAAAACAGTAGCTATCACTGTAATCCTAGCAGCCTAAGAGGCTGAGATAAGAGGATTATAAATTTGAGCTCAGCCTAGACAATTAAGTGGCTTAGTGACACCCTGTCTCAAAATAAAAAAAATAAAAATGGCTGGGGATCTAGCTCAGCATGAAGCCTCTAGCTTCAATTCCCTGCACTACAGAAAAAGAAAAAAACATAGTTTGCTACATGATCCCATGCACACCTGCCTATACCAAGTATCCAAAATAGAAGTCCCAGAACTAATGCTTTGATAATAAAGGCGCCAAGACCCTGGACACTGCTGACTCACAAACACAGCACACCTATGTATATGGCAGGTTTTCAAAAACACCTTTCACGGGAGATGCTCTGAGTGGCTCACTAGGACACTTTAAAACACTTACCATGATCAGAAGTAAATGCAATGATCGTGTTGTTGGCCAACTGAAGATCATCTAATGCACTCAAAAGGTGGCCAACCTGTGTATCCAAGTAAGACACAGAGGCAAAGTAGCTCTGGCGGATTTTTCGCTGCAAATGAAATTTAAACAATAATGAGCATGTAATTTTAATTGCATGTGTAATGCCTGCCCGAGCACCTCTCCCAATTCTGACCTATCCACTGATGCCTTAGTGACTTTCTCCGTGAAAACATAATGCTCCTGCAAACCCTTCATCCCTGGTTTGCAAAGGCATAGGGCAGTTTGCGAGTCCAAATTAGATGCCTTTCTAAGCAAATCAGCTTAGGAGCAGATCTTGGTGGATGGCTGTCACTCCCTGTTTCTTTCTGTCTCCTGCACAAATTGTGCTAGGTCCCAGGAAATGAGATACATGCACAGATCCTTCAGCCCTGCTAAGCACAGGCCTCAGGCTCTAAGCAGGTTCTCACCAAAGATATGATTCTGCTTTATTCATTTCCTAAGGCTGCTATAATCAAGTACCATGAATTGCCCAGCTCAAGACACCACAGATGGATTGTGCTGCTGCTGCCCAGGCAGGAAGCTGAAAGCAGGGACTGGGGTAGCCCGCCTCAGTCCGAGGCCTGGAGGAAAGGTCTTGCCTCTTTCTCCCTTTTGGTGGATGCTGCCACACTTGGCGTTCCTTGGCTTGCAGCTGTGCAAGAGAAAAGTTAGACCTACCTCGCTCCTCCCATGGGACTCTTCATGTCTGTCTCTTCTTAAAAGGACATCATTACTGCATCAGCGGCTCAACCTACCGTTACAACCTCATCATAAGACTACAATGACCCTATTTCCAAACCAGGTTGCTTTCCTGGTATGACGGACTGAGAGCAGTATATCTTTGGGGGGCTAGGAACAGTGATCCTGGGTCGTCCTTTCTTCTGAACACTTTCTAATCCGGCAAGAGACAGTAACCACTTATCAGCATGAACCACGGCTGCTATGTGCAGCTCATCTCTCAAAAAGCCTTAGCAGGTAGAGAAAAGCAGTGGGCAAATGGAGCAGCCATGGCTCCTGAACCCAAGGGGGCCCTGGAGACATCAGGGCAGACACCAGAGTAAAGGAGCCACCGCTACCTCCTGGACTGACTCACTCCCAGCCCTGTTCACAAATGTTAAGAAAAAAGATGACTCCTCTACGCCCACAAAGGGGTGCAAATTAATGGAGCTGCTAACTTATCAGCTGTTTCTGCTGCCTGTGTGCTGCCTGCCTTGTCAGCGGGATCTGCCAGCTTCCTGTCATCATCGTTGCTGGGGTAAGGACAATCACAATACCCGCCTCGTTCTCCACATGCAGTGAACAGGAAAGATGTACATCTAACCTTCTAGAAGGGTTGTGCTGGACCAGCCTACTTAACACTTGCAGGCTTCACGTTAGTCCGTGACGTGCAGAATGTCAGGCCTCCTAGGAACCGAAGGCGCCTATCAGAATGGCTGGGTCCTACATCAGCACCCTCTCTTCCCTATGCTGATCATCAGAATGAATAAGCAGGCACGGTTCTCAACCTGGATAAGCCAGCTTCCCAGTGAGGAAAGAATCCAAACAAAAAGAAAATAAGTATGTATTACTGGCGGGGCCCAGAGAAGACACAGAGGAATGAGCCCTCAGGTACTCCTGGGAAGCCAGGGAAGGCTTCACAGAGGAGTTCCCATTGGAGAAGTGGTGGCTGACACCAGGCACTACGCAGGGACTATCGTATGTGGAACAGTGTGGGGTCAGGTCAGAGAGAAGCATTTGTGTCTGGAGAAAAACATGGGAGAGCACAGGAGCAAGAGACACTGAAAAGCTAGGTCAGAGCCAGGCCACAGGGACCCAGTAGGTTCCTCCAAAGAGTAGTGGACCCAGGCTGCAGGTCAAGGGGGTTACTAAGGTCTCTCAAAGCAAGGAAAGGGTACAATCTGGACTGAAAATTAGCAATTGCACTATGGCAACAGACAGAGCATGGACTCCTGGAGCTTTAGACACAACACTGCATATATCCCTGCAGGGCCCCTAAGATGTGCTCTGCCCACTGGTTGATCAACCACCCACCTCAGTGGACCACAGGGTAAGCTAAAGAACCCAGAGGCCAGTGTGGAATAAAGAGGAATCTGGAGATGTGAAGCCTGCGTGAGGAGGGGAGGGAGCAGGGCAGAGGAAGGGGTGAGAAATACGGGGGTGACTTTAGCTCACACATTCAGCTGGTGGGATGATTCACCAGCATGTGGCAGGGAGAGGGACATAAGAGTAGGAGGATGTAGGAGGAAAGGCAGGGCAGGGTGGTGCTTGGCCATATGAACCCTACAGAAGGAAGGGCACATGGTCATCCACAGGGGAATGCCCGTCAAAGGCAGTGAACACATACAGTACACCTGAACATCAGGAACCAGGCCAGCACAGGAGCGCTAGTTCCGGGAATTATCCGCCAGCGGGGCACTGCTGGGCCCAGCAGTGCACAGGAGCAGAAAGCAGTGAGGGGCCTGGGAATGATTCCTGAGCATGGTACCTAAGGCAGGGGACACACACAGAAGAGCCTGCTGTGGAAACCAGAACGGGGAGGGGGGGGCCGAGGCACGCAGGCAAAACAGTGCAGGGCAGGCGGCAGGTGCATCAGGCTGTGGATAGGGCCGGTTAACGGTTAGAAAGCAGCAGAGAGCCCAGGAAGCTCCATGTCCACAACGGAGGGTTTCACATTGCTAACAAGCTCAGTGCCCACTCAGCTAGAAGTCTCAGTGGGCTGAGGAGGCAGAGGCCTGAGCAGAAAAGAAGGAAGAACAAGTGGACAGGCAGGTCACAGACACAGCCAGACTGACCGCTCTTAACTGTCAGTTATGCTCAAACCTGGCTCAACTTCACTGCTCCAGACACACCTAGGGGATTAAACAGACATGCTCCTGGGTGTGTCCGGTGGGTCACAGGGGCATGACCTGGGGGACCAGATCTGGTCTGACTCCTCCTCTCCCTTGGGCTCCTTCCCAGCTCTCTGCACCCAGCCACCGTGAGTTGAGCAGCTTTCTCTGTCACGCCCTCCCACCATGATGTTCATGCCTTGGAACCAGCTGAGCACGGACTGAAACCTCTGAAACCATGAGCACAAATGAATCTCTCCTGCTCCTTTAAACTGTGGGTGTCGGGTACTGTGTCCCTGCAACAGCAAGTCGACTAATATACTCTCCCATGGAGGGTAGGCAAGGGAGCAAAGAAGAGAGGAAAAGCAGGGTAAGGGCAAGAAGGTGGCACTCTGTAGACAGGAGAAACTTGTGAAGATACTCAGGCTGCACGAAAAGCAGTAGGGAGGCGGGGGACCTTGCTGGATGCGGCCAGGTGAGCAGAGCTGAGCAGAGAGCTCCTGCAGGCACTGAGGGCCTCTCTGCCTCACAGCTATGTGGATTCTCTCCAGCTGCCCTCCTAGCTAGACTGCCTGTGACACTGCAGGTGGGGCAAGCAGAAATGGGCGAGTGTGCTGAGGGGCTGGTAAGCACAGGAAGCGGCCTGCCGCAGGGAAGGGGCAAACCCAAGTGCCCACCTGGACAGAAGAGGGGAGCAGGCCTCTACACTCCAGCCATCCCCAGGGGGTGTACAGGCAACAGGGACATATGGGGAGAGGGGATCACGAGCAGGGTGGGGACAAGAATGAGCAGGCCTTCGAGGTGTGAAGCCCCTGAGATTGGCCCCCAAAGCCACTAGCTCACAGTGGGCTGAGTAAGAAGGCTGGGGCTGAGAGAACATTGACTCAGTTGCCTCGGGAAAGGGGTCAGACAAGGAACGCTGCGACAGGAGCAGTGGAACCTGCCAGAGGACAGGGAGTGAGGCCCGAGGCAGGGGAATGTGGAGCAGGCCGCTGCACAGGAGCACCCCACGGAGGCTCTCTGCTGTGTGTCTAGTAGGCATGGTGAGAGGAGGGGACTCAGGGAATCTGAAAGACAGCTCATCATGCAGCTGGCACTGCCCCACATGCTGCCACATGTTCCCCTGTGTCCCCAGTGAAAACCCCCAAAGCCAGAGAAAACCTAGACCTGTCCTATTTCCATTTTACAGGTAAACTAACTGAAGTTTAGAGAGGTTTAGGGACTTTGTAGAGCTGGAATAGGGTTAAAAAGTGAATTCAACCCCGACTGCTCAGAAATGGCTAAACCAACTTCAGGGTTTAGGCATCCCAGGTCACTGAGGGTGAACCAGCTCCCCCTGGCACTCTCTTCATACAGTGAGATCTGCAGCTTCCCTGCCTTTCATGTCCTCACCCAACAGCAGAGAGGCAGCAGCCTCACTGGGTTCCCATGGAGACCAAAAGAGATGCAAGCATGAATATTCTGCGCCATTCCCGGCGCCAGTCTTCTGCAGTCTCTTTAACTGGCTGTCACTAATGAGGCTTCCAGGCAGTCTCAGAGCTATGATTTGAACCACCTAGTAATCAAACCCAGCTAGTAAAAATTAGCAAACAAAGAGACATACTGGTTGCTCTCCAATTTCTCACCACTTACCATCTGAAACTCAGGTATCAAATAGATTTGAGGAATGCACTCCGCTCATCAGCCAAACTGTCTGTACAACTGCAGGGCCCAAACAGGTTTGGCCAGCAAGTGATCCTGTAGGAGTTGGTTTGGTTTGGTTTGGTTTGAACCTGGTCTCTAGCTGTGGTTCTCAAAGTCCCCAGGGCATCGGAATCCTCCAGCATGCTTTTTGGGCCAATGTAGAGCCAAGTCTTGGAGGGCTGGAACTCTGCATTTCTAACAAGTCTGCCCAGCAATATTGGTGCTGCTTGTCAGGGAAACATACTTGGATGACCCTGGCTTTTTCCCTCCATAATAACCTCCCTGTCATCATTCATGCAGGCTTCTGTATAAAACATTCCAGAAAGAATCCTGGTGAGCATTTTGTTCTATGCACAGGGAACACTAGTGACTACATCACAGCAAAGAGAGACCAGATATCACAGCTGACAGCACTGGCTGTAATGGCATCCCAGCTCCCTCTATGCCGAGGCCCAGCTCATCCAGCCACCCGATGAATGACAGAAGCTAGTGCCGGGCCTTCCCATAAAAGGAACGTGCAAGTGACAGCAAGCTGAGTATCCCAGTCTTCTGGGGAGTTGCCTACAGCCCACAAGTGATGAGCTGTCACCTGGATTAAACAGCATTGCTCACGGGTTGGTGACATTCCCTTAGGCTGCTTCTCCACCTCTGTGGAGGTGAGTCACCGAATCCTGGCTGCTGCCTTCTCTGGAAGCTGAGACACTGGTCAGAAGACTGTCAATCCACCCAGCACTGCTTGTGTCCCAATACCTAAAAAATGTCCCACCCAGCACTTCACACAGTGCCTTGCACACACTAACTCCTCAGTAAGTCATACAGATGGACAAGTGGCTTCGCCAATGATATGATGCCACCAGTACCATTAGTACCTGAAAGTCCACAGGAATCGGGCCATAGGGTACACTGATGTTTAGTGCCTGAACATCTTCCCGTTGCCTTATATCCATCCAGGGGTTGTAGGCCACAGCAGGCAGGCTGTCGGGGACCTCCGGATCAGGGGCCAGAGTGATGTTCTCCAAGGGATACAATTTCTGAAATTCCTGGGGGCAAGACACAGAGCCACAAGCTTGTCATCTGTCTGACAAAGGTACAGGGTCTTCTTCCATGAGTGTTTATACTGCCTTCTCTTGAACCCTGTCAAGAAATTTCAGTGGTGGCTCACTAATGGTCCCTCAGTATTCAGCTGCCACCTCAGGTCAGGCCAGGGGTCACCCTCACAAGGTGCCAACTGCAAAGAAATCAGGCAACTCCTATTTCCCACAACCAGGCAGTGAGAGTGATTTTCAAACACTCAGAAGCCCTCCTGTTCCCATCCCCATCTCACACCCAACTCAGAGATGTGGGCTCCCCAAACCATGCCCAGGACTCCCGGGACTGAGCACGCAGTTACTCAGGGAGATGGCTTATTACAGCGGAAGGATACCAAACTGTCTAGCACAGGGAAAAGGCCCACTGAGGAAATTCTAGAGGAGACCACAGCAAGTTCCCAGAGTCCTGTCCCAGGAAACTCACACGGGTCACACTCAGTGTTTCAGCAATGAGTAAGGATGCCACCAAGCGGGGAAGCTTTTTAAAGCCTCAGCACCCAGGTCTGATTTGATGTTGGTCACACAGGCACTCTCTGCCTGGAACATACTAAATTCCAGTTCTCCACCAGGAAAGACAGGGATTCAGTATGTAGCCTAGTGCTTGCTTCAACAGTTTAGGCATGGTGAGTCACTCTTCTGAGTTCTAACAACTGGTGGAATCTCAAAATCAAAGTTCCCAGAGACACCAGCCAAGGGGCAGCCTTGGAAGCAGGTCTTTCAAAGGGGTGTAGCCAGGCAGCCTTTGTGAAAGCTTTTCTGCAAAAGGACAGAAGAAGTGAGTTTCACAGGCTTCTATCACGCCGGCTGACAGTGCCTGCTAGGAAAGCAAGGTCCCCTAAGCCAGTCAAAGCAAGATATCTGCATCATCAAAGACTATACCCTCTGGTGCCTACCCTATGACAAGGGAGATGCATTCTTTTTCAAGTCAAAAGGCTGAGCTTGGGCCAGGGATTTAGCTCAGTGGCTTAAGTGTCAGCCTGGCAAGCACAGGTCATGGTTTCAATCCCTGGTACCAAAAAAGAAAGAAAAAAAAGGGGGCTGAGGATTTAGCTCAGCGGCATAAGCACCTGCCTTGCAAGCAGGTGATCCCCAGTACCAATAAAAAAAAGAAAAAAAGCTGAGCTTCTCAGACCCAGGGAAAATTGGAAAACATGGAAAAACATTATAACAAGGAAAAGACTAGGTGCTTTAAGTGATATTCAAGCAAGCACACAGCGTCCTGTGTTTGGAGTCTGCTCTGACAGGCTCAAATGGGAAAGCAGCTGTGACCGTCCCAGGAACTGTTTCCCAAGCGTTGCTCCGTGTTACAGCTCAGACTCACTTCTCTAGGATGGTTTCACCATGCAACCCAACCTTTGTGCAATTCCCACGAAAGGGAACCACCTTCTAGGGGAGAAAAGTGGCAGCTCAGGCTTTTCTTGGAAGATTCTTATGTGTCCTAGGACTACTTCTTGGCCGTGACTGCTGAATCCACCTTCATCAGGTGTACTACACCCCTCGGCAGCCCTGGTGACCGGGAGTGGGAGGATATGGCCATATTCCTTCCACGAATCCCTCACTCAACAAATCCAACAGCTGCAATGGCTACAGGAGGTCAGCATCCAACTGGCTCCTTACCTTGGGGTATCTGAAGGGGATGTGTGGTTTATGATACCCAACAGCCAGGAAGAAAGGACTGGCCGATGTTTTCATCTTTTCCAACAAACAGATGGCTTCCTCAGTGCTCTGTTTGTCAGGCAAGGTGCCCTCGGGCACATCCGCCATGTCCACAGGGCAAATCAGGTTGGCATGGAGTTCTCCGTCTTGCCCCCTACATGTCTTTTAAAACAAAACACACAACATCAACCTTTTAAATACAAGAAGCAGAAGTCACGAAGGTTAAACACACAGATTTGATGTTCCTATTCCCAGCCCTGAGGTGTTAGTCATACCGAGTGAACAGACATTATCACAAGTAGAACTAAATGAGAAACATGTTTCTTCTTTCCAGGAAGGAGCCGGAAGTATATACCACTTAGTTTCTTGCAGCTAATCCTCTGCCTCCAGGTCATAACTAATGACCACCAAATGATCCAATTATTGAAAAAAAATTTATCTTCAATAAAACCATGAAAAGTTAAGCCAACTACAAGGGAGAAAAAGACTTAGATAGTTCTCTGAGAAGACACTGAAATGACCAGTAGCACATGGAAACATAATTAACTTCATTATTCATCAGGAAAGTATAATTAAGAAACACAACAAGATCATCAAAAAGGTGGCTATAATTTTTAAAAACAGAAAATAACGTGGGCAAAGGTGTAGAGAAATTGGAACCATCACACACTGCTAGTGGAAATTTAAAATGGTGTAGACACTTTGAAAAACAGTCTAGAAATTCCTCAAACAGGTAAACATAGTTAGTATATGGCCTAGAGATTCTACCCCTAAGTACATACCCCAAACAATCAAATATGTTAGTCTAAAAAATACTTACATATGCCAGCCACGTTATTCCTCATAGCCAAAAAGTGGAAACAGCCCAATAATCACCAAGTGGTAAGTGGAAAAGCAAAACAGTATGGCAGATTATTATGCATCTATAAAATGTGGATACATACCACTATGTGCTAGAATCTCAAAAATTATGCTATGTGAAAGAACCTGAATACAAAGTCACATATTATATGATTCTATTTATATAAAATAGCCAGCATAAGCATATGCATAAAGACAGAAATAGGTGATGTCACAGGCTGGGAATTCAGAGAAGAAGGGGAATGAGTATTAGGTAGTTTCTTCTTAGAATGATAAAAATGGTCTAAAATTGATTTTGCTCATGTTTGCATAACTCCACAAGTGTACTACAAACCATGATTTAAAAGGGAGATTTGTAGGGTATGTGAATCACATCTCAAAAAAAATTAAAAAGAAAAAAACCTTAAATTTCAAAGTCAGACTAAGACAAAGTCACACTAAGTCATACTAAGTGACAGGGTCCCCATTAAGTGGATGAAGTGATAATCCATGGAACCGCCTAGTCCCCACATATACCATTCAGGAAATGACCTCCTCTTCCAAAGCAGCTATATTGGACCTAAGGCTAAAGTCGGTGTTGACCACTGAGTGCTAAGTATAGAGATCCCTTTCCCATCCTCACTGCAGTCCAGGAAGTTTATATTTGTAATCCCATGGGAACATTATTGGAGGTTTAGAAAGTTAATTTCAATCGACCACTCCCAGTGCAACCCATGGTGAGCATACAGACACTAGGACACTTATAATTACAGGGTCCAAGTCTGGCCAGGATGAAGGTTCATCAGAATCAAGCCTTCAACCCAGGGCCTAACCCAGATTTTACTAATTCGTGAAGATGGCAGTGATTGTGAGAAAGGTGGGAGATGCATGCTTACTGTGAGCTGGGCTATGTGGGAAGCCCGAAAGCACCTCTGCCATACACAGTGAGAAGGATATGCAGAAATACCAATGTGCATAACACAACTGAGGTAGCATTTAATGTTTAGGGATGGTGCTTCAGCTCTGAACTAAAAACTGTTGTGCCCTGGGAAGTCACAGCCTCTTATCTGGAGTTTGGAATCCAGCTGACAGTCCTGGAGTGGTGGCTCTGAATGCAGCCGGGCTCAACCATTTAGAGGGAGACATGGGGGCAGGGGAACAGCTACTGTTGCCTTGCTTCAAAAATCAGGCATCAGCGCCTCAGCCAGCCCTAATTTACATTGCTCAGAGCCAATTGAAGGGAAAAGGAGCTAGCTGAGCCAGCTCCGTACATGTCAGTACATGGAGACATGGCCAGGTTTAGCCAAAATGGAGATCACTGCTTTGTATTCAAGGAGTGTCATCCAGGTGGCCTTCCACAGACCGTGAGTTGCACAATGCAAAGACCTGGGCTATGTCAGATGCTCCAAGAGCAGTGTCCTTCACACCTTGCCTTGCCCACCCCAGGCAGGACAGCCCAGTGTGCATCTCACACCTACTCCTCACCACCACCAGCAGCACAGCCATTGAATACAGCACACCCAGCATCTTGAGAAGGAATGATGGGGTGGGAGAGAGGCTGCAGGGCCCAGAAAATGTGAGTGAGACCACTCAGAAGTAGCCAGATGGCCTCATGGAACTGAGAAACTGAGAGGAGGGTCTTCTGGTCTCATTCTCTTCCTACTCAAGCCGTGAACTGAAGGCAGAGCCTTCAGCTTTCACTGTACTCTGAAATGGAAAGTCAAGAAGAATTTGGAGCACCTCCCACCCCAAGGCAAATCCTCACCCTTCTCTAAATGATGTCGCCAAAAGGGCTCAGAGGAAGATGCCATTTTTCAGTTCTCCAGCTGGTTTTGTCAGTTTCTTAAATTTGGGTTTCGCTTTCAATTATACATTGGGGGTTCTGCCAAAGATTTAAGTTCCTTTATAGGTTCTTTTTTCCCACAATGTTCTGAAAGTTTAAAATCCCTATCAGAGCTCTAAGGAGCCGAACAACATGCATTAGGCCTCTCTCATCCCAGGCTGAGATTCTTGGAGGTCTCTCTTCCCATCTCACATCCCAGAACCTCCGAAAATCCTCAGCTCACAGCCTCATCCAGAGTGAGCTCCCAGGAATCATCCTGCGAGTCAAATGCTCTAGACACAGCCTATGCTTCTCCAAGCAAGAGCCCCACCAGCTGCTACACGAAAGCCACTGTTCCTCTCAGGCCTAACTGTAAAGATGCCCACATGTCTCTGTCAAGACACCCCCAAAAGTGAAACCCACAAACCTCACAGCATAGCCAGCTGGAAAGAAGGTGAAGTACACACAATGGGTAATTTGCTAGACAGAAAGAAAGCACTTTCTCTTCAGACCAGTGGCCCTTTCCCATTCTCACCTTGGTGTTTTCATACTTCTCTGAGGAGGGATGGTAAGGTGGAAGAGACCAGCTATATGGAGAATCATCACTATGATTGGAAGATATACCTTGGGGTGGGAGGAGAGAGACGTTGTTAAATAAAACAGGAAAAGTCTTTTAATATTCCACCCCACCAAATTAAAACTTAGCAAATAACTGGGCAAGTGGCACTTCTCCTTTTGGACTTCAGTTCCCCCACCTACAAAGTCAGGAGCTTAGGCAAGATGTTATGTTTCCACTAATGCCAACCCTTTTGGTCTCCATATGAGCATCCAACATCTAACTTCCTGGTCCCTCGGATACTTGTGCAGAACGGACCCACAAGGGCAAGCTCAGACAAGCTGTGGTGGCAGTGCAGTTCCTTCAAAACCACACTGGAGCTTCTTACCCACGCTACAAGAGAAGGGGTAGAGGCATCAACACCATGAGACAGCTGGGAAAAAGGGTTCAGAGGTCTGCACTTGTCCAGTGCCAGCCAGCTATCGGATGAGCAAGCCAGTACTGAAGCCTTGGGACCCACGTTCAGGTGCCTAAAGGAGAACTCCATCTCTGAGCTTACCGGATTACAGTTTACCAGGGAAGGCAAAATAACCAAGGAAGCACTGCCAGTTGTTGAAAGGACAGAGAGCCCTGGACACAGGTGATGTGGGCGGGGTAAGGGCTGGGAAGGAGAGCCTTTAGGAGTCAGAGAGGCCTGTGAGGGGTTGGAAGTGTTACCTACAGGGAGGGGTTGGCCAGGTGGAGTGGAAAAGGCATCTGGGCCGGACCAAGAGAGAAAGAATATCCTCAGTGCAGTGGCGCTTTGAGGTCAACACCAGAGGTGCTGGGACTGGAGAGAGGGGTGCCAGGTGAAGGGCCTACACAGCAAGCAAGATGGGAAGGGCATGCAGGAGGCCAACAGACACGGGGCAGAATCCTGACACTATCCCTTAGCTCCTGTGCACACTTGGTAAGCTACTTGACCTACCCAAAGGAGACATGATGGCCAAAACCCACCTCTCATGTGCAACTGAGGGAGTCCATGAAAGGCCTGCAGAGTAAATGGCACATATCTGACCCTCGGGTGGCTACGGTCATCTTCAAGAAGCCCCATTCCAACCCAAAAAGATCCTGGGAAGCAACTCACTTGAGAAATACATTTTCCCCAGGAAGCGCAGAGAAAGCTTAATTCTCCAGTTTGGACACCAAGCTCAGAGCCTGATCCCAAATATCTATGCGCTGGGTAGTAGGAGGCTCGCGGCATCTCCTGAGCCTTGCTTGCTTTCCCCTTCTGAAGCCAGCTTCCTCCCTCTGCTAAGTTTCCTCCTCACTCTACAAAGGTCGCTTGCTGTCACCTGCCTACAGGCACGGAGTGTTAGGATGACAGTACCACACTGCAGGGAGTGCATCAGATGCTGGCCTTCTCCATTTACCTTCAAAATCAAACTTCACGTAACCCACCTGAAAGCTACCCCAGCCTGGACTGGCCAGCTGCGCTCTGGAAGAAGAGCCTGCCTAAACAAATCATGCCCAAAGGGAAAGCTACTCAAAACGTACGAGTTGTCATCCTTGAGGACAAGCACCACCATCCCTGTGGAATACCCACACTTGGAAGCTGCCCAGGGAGGATCAACACAGCTGACCCTAGCTTCCCAGGTGTCCAAGGCCCTGGAAGAGGGTGCACATTGGACTCGATTCCACCCCACAGCTCACTGGCAGTGCTGAGGCTACACGCACATTGCCAGGCGCTGCTGCAGCTTCCCATCTCTTTGCTGCCAGACATGTCCCTGTCAGTGAAAATGAAAACAACTGGGAAGAAAGGACAGTATATTTTAGATTGCGACAGCGCCATTTAAAATGCATTTAGATAGGAAAACATTTATAAAAACTCAGCAAAAAGAATATATATGTATATATGTATATATGAATATATATGTGTATATATCCTCAACCACTCCTAACTTTATGGACAGGGACCCTACAGGGCAGAGGGTAGATGGGCCTCAGACCTGGAATCCTGCCCAACATTGCCACCAGACAGTGTCCTTGCCATTGCCCAAGGAGCTGGAGGATCCCAGGGCAGCATCTCTACCTTCTGAAAGAAACCCAGAGCCCCTCTCCCCTTTGCACTGGGGAGCAAAACCTGAAGGCAGAGTGGAGAGGGCTTCTTCTACAAAGGCAGCAGTGAACAGCAAGGCAAGCAGCCAGCCAGCAGAGGCCTCTGCAGAGACAGCCCCAGGCACAGCAGGGGACACCCACACTCAGCACAAGACAACACAGGCCTGGGGCATGGGGCATGGGGCATGGGGCATGGAGCAGTACCAGGGTGAAAGACTTTTCCCACCGACATGGTCACGTAGCCATTCTCCTTGAAGTGCTGGGGGAGGGTGGAGAAGTTTCCAGCATGTACCCTCCAGTAGGAGCCAAAGTCATACAGGCGGGTGGTGTCAGGCCTCCTCCCAGTGAGGAAGGACACTCTGCTCGGGGCACACACTGCTTGCTGGTGGGGAGCAGAAACACAGGTCAGAGTCATCACAGCTAAATGTGAAAATGTGGCTGCTGTCTCCAAGGTAACCAGACATCCTCTCCAGGCCCTCAGCAACAGTCTGGCAGCTGAGTCATGCAGATCTCAAAGCCAGCCAGTGGGATTTGGGCCCTGAACAAGTTCCAGACATTGCAGCTTCCTGGCAAGACAAGGCAGAGGTGAGCCCTGCAACCCAGCACATGCTGGTGTCCTGCTACCTGATGGTGTCCCCAGGCACCCGGAGCTGTCGATGTTCTAGGGACCCGCCTGAGAGGGAGCTCATGGAGGAGACCTCTATGGCCAGGTGGGTGAGCCTTGCCCAGAGCTCAGTGGGCAGCCCCTAGGTGGCATTTGGCAGTGCTAGGTTGTGTCCCCTACTGGGAGTAAGCAGACCAGGGTTGGTCCTGAGCATGTTAGTGTCAAAGTGTACCCTCCACCCAAGGAGGAGTGGCAGCCTGTAAGGTACAAATTTCCTTTAGAGTAAACAATAGGATGCCCTTGACCACTGTTTTCCAGACCATGCTTGCCTCTTTCAGGGAGGTGCCTTGCATGGTTAGTGCCTCCTAACACGAGCTGAGGGACCCCAGTCCTATGTGTATGAGGAGGCACATTTCCATGTGAATTGCTCCCCTGACATACCTGAGCAAAGGCATTCTGGAAGAGGAGGCTGTGGGATGCCAGCTGATCGATATTTGGGGACTTCACAAGCTTATCCCCATAGCAGCCCAAGGAGGGGCGCAGGTCATCCACGATGATGAGCAGGACATTCAGAGCATCTGCACAGCAGACAGGGTCTTTTGTGAGGTTACATAAGCAGATACTGAAATTCCTCCTTCTTGGAGGATGAGAGACCAAAGGCTCACGCCTGCACCTGACAGCTCAGCCAGAGTGGCAGGCCACCAGCGAAGTGCGTCAGCAAGTAGGGGGACAAGGTTACAGAGCAAGCCTGAGGTGTGGGTGGCAGATTTAGGGTTTGACCAGGGCTTCAAGCCTGGAGGGGGGAGATGGAGATAGAGCGACACAGGAGAGAAAAAAAAAAAAAAAAAAACAATTTAGGAAGAGAGGACAGGTGAAGAGATGGAAACATGCTTATTGAAAGAAGGATGGAAGGAAGGAGAGAGGGAGGGATAACTGGATTGAAGGAAAAGGGACGGAAGGAGGCAGGGATGGGAGGAAAAGAGAAGAATGGACTCTTAGCAATGGAAAGAGAGGGATAGAGGGAAGAGAACTGGAGGGAAAAGACAGACAGAGCGACGGGAAGAAGGAGGGGTGACTGCCAGGAGGACTGAGGATGGAGGGAACAACAGATAATGAAGGATAATGGAAGGCATGGAAATGAGGGTAAGAGATCGAGGAAGAGGAGGAGGGCAGGCTGTGTTCCTGGGAAGGGAACAGCAGGGGAAGGCAGCAAGGGTGGATGTAGGCAAGGAAGGCGCGGAGACGGGGAAAAGCAATCGGCGCAGGGGTTAGGGTGCTTTGGGGATTGGGGGGCTTTGGGGGTTGGGGTGGCGGGAGGCACCTGTGGCGGAGTTGACCTGCGCCGCGGACTCCAGGACCGCTGAGGAGCTGAGGAGCAGGCCGAGCCACAGTAAGGGCCAGCCAGGAGGCGGCAGCATTTCTTCTTAGGCGCCGTGGCTGGGGGCGGTGGCGACGGGCTGCAGCGGGAGGACTGGGCAGCAGGCTGTAGCTGCCTCAAGCAGCAGAAAGAACTGCGCGACACCGCCGCCCTGGGCCCACAGGCCCGGGCGGCTGAACTCCAATGCGCCTGCGCGCTCTTCCTCCGCCCCTCTAGAGGCGGGGCCTAGAGGTGCGCTGGGCGCGGGCGCCCAATCCCAGTCGTAATGGGCGGGGCCACGGGCCCAGTGCTCAGCCTGGGCTTCCCACTTGCTTCTGCTCTTACCAGACTGCCCCACCCCTGAGCACCGCTCCAGGTAGAGAGTTGAGGCAGTCCTTGTAGGTGTTTTGATGATTTCTCTACTCAGCCACTGCAATTAACTAGAAGTTTTTACACCTCTTCGCCTTTGGTCTTCCTCTGCCTTTCACCTAGGACCTCTGCCCTTCCCTCACCTGCCTATAAACATCTCAGTTTCGTTGTTGGCCCTTGTCATTAGCAAACTGTCCACAGGACAATCCCACCCTGACCTCAAAGGTGGCTCCCCTTTGTGTTGGTTTCTGAGGTGTCCCCATCCTAACATGGTACCTAGCCATACAGTCCACCCAGTCTGTGCTCCATGCCACTTTCTCCTACAACAATCCATAGCGTCAATCTCTCTCTCTCTCTCTCTCTCTCTCTCTCTCTCTCTCTCTCTCTCTCTCTGTCATTCTCAGGAGTACAGAAAAATTCTGTCCTCCCGTGCCACTTTAGTATCATAGGAAGCTTAGGGGCTGCCCCAGGCACTTCTCCAGTTATGCTGCTCTGGTGTGAAGAGAGTTCTCAGGCTATGTGGCTTCCAGGGTGCCATCTAGTAAGATAGCATATTTCCTCTCATCCTTGGACTTACACTTCACCCCCACCTTTCGCCCTACCTCCAGGGGCAGAGGATAAATACATGAGTAAATTAACTAATACTCTTTCATACTTTGCCACAACAGAATAAAGATGCCAGATATGATGGCACACACCTGTAATACCAGCACTTGAGAAGCTGAGGCAGGAAGATCACCATGAGTTCAAGGCCAGCCTGAACTACAAAGCCAGGCTCTGTCTCAAACAAAACAATAGAACAAGGATTCCGGGTACAATTTAGGAGTGCTTTTCCTTTATTTCCAGGATGATTGGACGTGTACTCCTTAAGGGCAGGCTCTGCATCTTTAATCTGCTGTGTATCTCCAGGGCTAGCACAGCCACTTGGGTTTCATGGACTCCATTGGGAGTCAAAGCAAGATCATAGTTACTGGGTAAGAAAGCAGGGTATCCCAGGCCATAGCCCAATGTCAAAGGAACCCTCCTGCTATGTAGCGTGGTGGAGCAGGGCCTGAACTCTGTAGGCATGCAAGATGGCCACAAAATATACTCAGCAACTATAGGGCTGTTCTCAGGAGTGACTGTCTCCAGGTATATCAGTCAGTGCTCACTGGAAAAACTACTGATCTAATGTAAGATACATTAATATATAAAAATTTACAAGATTAAGCCGGGCATGTTGGCTCACGCCTGTCATCCCAGCATTTGGGAGGCTGAGGCAGGAGGATCCTTGCGAGTTCAAGAACAGCCTAGGCTACAAAATGAGCTCAAGGCCAGTCCGAACTGCACTGTGAGACCCTGTCTCAAAAAGACAAAAAAAAAAAAAAAAAAAAAAAAGAATTTACAAGATTGACTTATAGTGGCCAAATATAGACTCAGTTGCAGAAAAGTGCGAAAGGGCTGTCCGCACACTAGAGATCCGAATGATTAGGTCGGAGGCCTAGAGCTTAGTGCAGTGTCGTGTGCAAGCTCATATTGGTTCTTCAGATAAACCTGGTGCCTACACCGTGTCTATACCAGCCCTTTCAGGCTCCGATGAGCAGATATTTCTTGTAAACAGAAGCCCACAGCTGCAACCCAGGTTGAAGCCCATTCCTTCCCGCACAAATACCCAGGGCACAAGATGGACTGGGAAACACTGCAAGGACTTCATTGAAAGGCCTTTGTTGACTTCCTCCAAGGCCTCTTATCATATGTGTATATGAGCCACACCTCAGGCCTGAACAAATGCATCAAGAGAGGAAAGCACTACAGACAGCCGAAAATATGACAACTTCAAGGGGAGAAAACCAACAAGAGGAGAGATCTTCTGAATCACATAGGTTCTCTATATTTTGCACACTGTCCTCAGCTTTTTATTTGAAGAAATGTGGCTTTTGGGAAGTAGCATGTCATCCCTGTGGAATCAATGTGACATGATATTTTTGTAACATCATTAAGAAGTCTAGTATTATGAGAAAGTTCTCTAAGGGACCAATAAAAACACTTAGGGGAGGGAGATATATTAGAGGACATTTTGCTGAATGGCATGGATATTCACATATGAAATGCAGTTTTCAATAGTCCCCAAAGCCCACAGCTGGGATTGTTCTCTACTAAATCTAGGAGCTAAATTGTTGTCTTTGAGGCATGAGTGGAAGCAAAGCTCTAAAGCCCCAAGTTTTGGCCCTAGTCCTGTAGCCCAAGAAAGAGAGCACCAGATTGTCCTTAGGTGGCAACCTGGCCCCTACCTTGCTGATGAACTGGGGTTGTTATGGCTCATATGTTAGGTATCCCCCAAAGACTCATGTGATCATAGGTGGAGCTTTTTCAGAGGTGACTGGATCTAAAGTATGCGACACTGGGATTAAGGGTGTGCGGTTACTAAATTAATCTATTGATTTTTTTGGTACAGTTCTGGGTAGGATTAAGTGTGCCCCACCCTGAGTGTGAATGCTACTTGTCCTAGGGGTTGGTAGCAAGGTACAATTTAAAGGGCCAGAAAAAAATCTGTCACTTGTAGAGGGATGCTTGCTACTTTCTGTCTTCTCCCTGCCATGAACTGCTTCCCCTCTGCCATATCACCCTGCTTTGGACCCAGCCAATTATGGACTGAAACCTCTGCAAACTCTGAGCCAAATAAACTTTCCTTTAACTTTTTTGAGTATCAAGTATTTTGTTTTAGTAACCAGAAAAGTAACTTAGATGGGTTTAACAGTCATATGACAGAGCAGTCTTCAGAACACAAGCTGAAACCAGGCTGATGGATTTCCATTCCAATGCTACTGTGGACCACTGTGGACTAGCAGTGGACCCAGACCACTGCTAAACTCCCCTGGGTCTCATCAGAAAATGTGAATGTCATCCAACACCTGATCTAAGGGCTATTCCCAGTCTCCAGGAGACAATCAACAAGCAGGGGCTTTGGGCAATATATTGTACCTGCCTGGCCACACTCTGGCCCTGCAGTTCCAGATCCTCCCAGCTAGGGAACAAACTAAAGCAATTATGGACTCTGCTGAACTGCAGAAGATTGTAGATTTCAAGATGTTATCTGGGCCAGGAAAGCAAGTCATTCATAAAGCTGCAGTCTGTGGCATGTGGACTTTAGCCTGTGCTCAGCCAATGCCCACCCAGCCGCCTAACAGTCCCCCAAGCTCCAGGGAATCGTGGACATCTTCCTAAGAGCCCTTCCATGGCCACTGTGACCTCTGCAATTCTGTTTCCATTTTTAATGGAACTTGTTTTCTAGCTTAATAAATTGCTTACAGAATACATTGCTAAAGGGATGTGATAGCAGGCCAGAAGTAGGGTGGAATTAGCCCTTATTACATCATTGTCAGCCCAAGTAAGCCCCAAGACACACAGGACTTTCTTGTCTCTTTTTCCTATGTCATTTTTGTGGGCCAAATTCATCCCAGACTTTTTAGCTCGTGGAATCCTCGCTGCTGCCCCAGGGATTGTGTGCTACTGATATCTCCAGTGTATAGATGCACAAATTGGGACACAGAGAAGGTTGTCATTGGCCCAAGGTTTCACAACCAGCAGAGTTGGGAGCCTGGCTCCTTAAGGATTATGTCACATTTCCCCAAATAGGATCCAGCCAGGACAGTGGGCTGGCTTGCTCAGCTGTGTGCTGTGAGGAGGACCTCAGTATTATTTTCACAGGCAATGGGGATTCCTGAGGGTCTCGAGCCAGAGAAACAGGGGTGATCAGACAAGTGAGACTTTGTAGATCAGGGGCTGGCAGAAAACCCCAATTTTGCTCAGTAAAAAAGTTCATTTTAACAATTCAGGGTTCAGATGAGTTTTCCTGCTATTGTAGCTAGATGCCAAGTCTAGAGTGAGTCCTCTGGGCCACCACCTGAAGGATTTTATTTAAGGTGCAGCAATACTGGGCTGTGGATTAGAATATCCTTATTTTATTGGAGAAAACAGGTTAGAGGTCATACAGCTAAACGGTGGCAATAACAGGGCACAAACATTTCCAACCTATGTAACCACCCCCCACTTAGACCCTGTGCTATGTACTGACTTAATGAAGAAAGAAAATGAATATATGGCTGCACCAAGCACAATAAAATGCCCCAGGTGACACATTTGTCTGTGCTGGTCCCAGGCTAACTGCTCCAGCCTGGAGGCCAGCTTTGTGAGCCACCTCAACACCTTGCCTCCTTAACACGTGCTCAAGTCTCTGTTACATTTGGCTATTTAAATTTAAATTAGAACTACAAAGCGTGTTCCTCAGTTACACTAGCCATACTTTCAGTGGTTAGTGGCTAGCTTATATAGACAGTGTGGGGTTGGCATCCTGATTCCCGGATGGGAATATTTCCACCAGAAGACAGTGAGTCCCATGCAGTGATTTACAAGTCACGGCACTTTGAGTTCCTCAAAGAATTGGACCAGTAAGCATGAGAAAGAGTCTTCATTCTGTTGCGATTGTGGGGTGCCATGGTTTATGTTGGTGGCCACAGGCCTCATGCATTTACATTGTGCATTTGTGATTGGTTTATTATCTAGCACTTGGATGGGGGTGTGAGTGCTACATTGGCCTAGGGGTGGAGCCAGGATATAATGTAATGGCAGGAAGAAGGTGTATCTCTCTCTCTCTTGCGGGTTTCTGCCTTGTTTTTTGCAGCCGCCATGAACTGCAGCCCAGCCATGCTACCCTGCCTTGGAGCCAACTGAGTATGGACTGAAATCTCCAAAAACTGTAAGAAATAAACCTTTCTTTTCCCAACTTGGTGCATCAGGTATTTTGTCTCAGCGATGAGTAAAAAAGTAACTAAGACATGGGGTATGTAATCAAGAAGTGGTAGTGATGCTCTTACATAATAGGAAAAGAG